ATTTCCTCATATCTAGTTTAAATCTACTCTCTTTTAGTTTAAAACCATTACCCCTTGTCCTGTTGAGATATTTGATATATAATTGAAACTTTCTAGTTCAAAAGCCTGAAAGCTCTTCTGCCGAGTGGAGCAAAGGTAAAACAGCAACCCAGTGTTAATGCACTAATCCAATAACAGCTTATGTCTGCAAAGCAGTGCAGAAGAATCCTGTTCATTCAATTAGTGTGGGAGATGGAAAAGATTCTTTACAATTATGTTTCCCTTGTTAGATAGTTATTAAACAACAATTTTTTTCACAATAAAAATATCTATTTGTTTGCACACCTGAATCTGTTAGACCTAATCTTTAGATTTAATACTTGGACAACATAGTTAACGTTACTTTGGAAGACAGTATTATCTGAAGTAGAAATGCAGCTGCTGAAGTAAAAAGATAGTAAGTGCTGAAAAAACAATGAATGGCTTCACTATTTGCTTGGTGGCTTATTTAAATTTAATTCAGGAGCCCATATAGGAACAGAGCCACTATCTGTACAATGAAGTAAATTCAACCACGTGATGAAGTTCTGGCTTACTCCCCCACCAGTCACTCAGCTGGGTATCAGGTCACAGGGCAGGGGGCCAGTTCAAGGCAAGCCAGTGCTAGTAAGTCTTCGGGTTACCAACCGGATGAGCAGGGTGAAGGCAGGACATTGATGCCCAGCAAGTTCCAGAAGCCACCCTTTTCTGCACGTTAGCCACTTAATGGATGTTACCCATTGCACAACAAGCGGTGGCCTTCTGGCCTCCTCTTATCTCTATACTCTGTGTCCATAGAAACGTGGAACTGGCTAGGGAATGTGATTTATTTTTATACCTTTCAGAGGTTGTTTGTTAGAGCAGCCCAGCTCTAACTTTGCACTTTTAAACCTATTTCAAAGGCTCAGTCCCTTTTTTTTTTCTCTTGTATGAGTAATGCTCATGCATAAATTTTGTTTTCTGTTGATGATAATGGAACAAACTACAGAACAAAAAAGAGTTATAGACATGATTAAAGACTATGGGATAATGCAAAGTGACTTCCATTAAAGCTATCAGAAGAATCCCACTGTGGCTTTGTAATGTTGGAAGGCACAGCAAAGTAGAACAATTTTGAAACAACAGTTCAGCTGCTGACCCCTTTGTAATATTAGTCTTCTTTCCTTTTCCTATTTCATCTGCCTTTTAGACCTTGCCTTTCAAACTGCAAATCATTTAGCAATTGCTTTGGGACTGTATAAAATGTTGTGTAACAGCAGGGCTGCCATTCACAGCTGAAATACGCCCATATACATCATGTGGTAGACGTGCAGAATGCCTACGCTTTGCCTACGATGCGTGCACACACAGTAAAAATCTGTGCAGGCAAGAATCTCATGGACTTGCTGAATGCATTGACCAAACGTGCAGAAAGTTTGATGGCTCCGCAAAATCTTCAGGTACTCAATGGTTGTTTGGTGCACATGTAGTATGCCAAATAAATATTTTTTTTTTTATTGCACTCTTATCTACTGCAAAGGAGCAGAGCATCATGCAAAACACATGATGCTTCTTGGATGAGATGCACCCGTTACACATGCTCGTATATCCACATAAAATCAAGAGATACATCCAGGATTGTCAGGTACTTGGAAATCATGGACAAATTTAAAAAACCCGAGAATTACTCACATAAAAACGTTCCACAGGAAAAAGAAAATTTCCATAGAAATCCATGTGTACAATGGCCTTGACAATGGGAGTCCTGGCCAACTGAGATCTATCTACAGTTACTACTATGTGAGTAGATAAATAGCCACTAATGTCCTAAGATAGTGAATCATAAAGAAGTTACAGGTATAACTCAGCTTGGTTTTGATATTTACATCTAGAGGAGATGGATCTAGTCTTCAAGGTTATTCTTTCATATTACTTTAATTTGGATTGTCTATTGCTGTTATTTACTTCTATTCATAAAGGTCTGCAGAACTCACGGTCTGGGCTGGTATCATTGCAGTGCTGCAGAGGCACAAACCAGAGGAATATCTGGCAGTAATTTGCTCTCACACCTCCTAATTTGAGCAATTTATCACCTAGCTTGGAGAGCTTAACGGATGCTGGCAACGCAGCAATTAGACCATGAAGATGCAAGCAAACATGGATCCAAACAGCAGCACATACACACCCAGGAGAACACCCCCCTCGCACAGGCACTGCAGCCTTCTCCAGAGGATCCCTATCAGGCAAGTGGGATCTGAGCGCCACCGATTCAGGAAAAGACTTAATCATGAGTGTAACCTCAGGCAGGAAAGTGAAATCAATGAAGCTACTCCTGAAGCGAAGCACATGCATAGGTGCCTTGCCAAATCAGGGCCTGAAAAAGATCAATACCTTGTCTTTAAAACAGTACGATACCTCATTTTCCCATGTCTGGTTTTCCTCTCCTCTTATGGATACCTCCAGGCACTAAATATTTAGGATCCTGTGCCTTGCAGAATGCAAAACCAGGAGCAGAGCTACTGAACTCACTTGGGGAGCAGTAGTAGAGGGACAACACTCATAGGTTTATCCAAAGGCCTGACAAAAGAACCAACGTTCTTTTGTGATGGGTAAAGAAATAGGTCACAGTAGAAGAGTAGGAAGAAGGAGCAGTACATTCCAAATTTTTAAATTTTTTTTTTTTGTTCTAGCAAATGGATGGCCACAAGTGCCGGCCATGTTACTACAGCAAGCAGAGCTGTGAGACTTCTCTGGCACCATAGCTATTGGGTAGCCCACATCTACATTCTGTAACTACCATTTTTTTTTGTAAACTGATGGCAGATTCCATGCTGGTTTCGAGGGATGCTGGGCCAGGCTTTGGGTGGAGAGGCACTCTTACTGCGGCAGCCTTGGCACTGCATGTTGCCCAGTCATCCTGGCATGCTGGGGTTGTCATCTTCCAAACACAGCAATAACAGCTGAGTCTAATCAAACTAGACAAATATATTTTCCCAGCTCCCTTTGCAGAATCAGGGAGCTATAACTAAGGCTCCATTAGCCCACCCGTTACGAAGTCCTACTTCTGAAGCTTTAATCATTTGTATTTAAGACATCCTTACCAAGTGGGAATTTGGTATACAAAGATGAAAACAGCTCTTACACTAGATCAGTAATAAAGGTCTCACTGATTAAAATGACATCGAACAAAGCCCAGCATTAGCTGCTTATCTGTGTTAACTTGAAATCCCCGGTAGGGCTGAAAGATTAATTTTTCCTAACATAACTTTTATGTATTTTCTGAGCACTTGAATGATCTCTCTGTTTTTTGCACAGCAAGTAGAAGGTTTATGGTCTCCCTAATGATGTTTTCATACTGGAATTCCAGCAGCCATATCTCCTTGCTGTGAGCACTGCGTTTGGCTGGAACTTGAGGTGAGCCAGGAAGTCCACCAGTATTGACACCAGCACCTCCCAATGCCAAGGTCTGTACGATGCCACACGTGTACATTATCTTAACAACAGTCCAAGGAGACAGACAAGTTCTTCAAACACTGCAAAAAGTGGCAACTTTTTTTTTTTTTAATGTGATGATTTCATCAGAGAGGGATTTGTCTCTGGACACTATGGAGCTCTAGCTTGGCTGTGTGCCTGAGGGTATGTTGACGCTGCAGTCACCATTGCAGCTACGAGGTGATGCCGAAGTGTGCAAGCCCACCGTGGCCACCGTAAAGAGAGTAGAAGGGTCTCTCTGCCCAACAATCTGGTTCTCAGGCAGGCTTGCAGGTTATGCTAAGTTTCATGCTGCAACAGCTACAGGTAGTCACTGCACAAAATTCACACCCAGGACCAGTGATTGTTTTCTGGAAGCAAGAGCCACAAAAACTTACATTGCTGCACAGACTGGAGGTGCAAAAAGGTTTATGAGTCTTCCACTATCTTCCTCATATAATAGCATTACCAACACTAAGTACTAGAGGAAATCTCAAATCGGCTACATGCAAAGATGCTCTAAGATGCTAACATTCACCTGTACATGGTCATTTACACAACCCTAATGGATTGCTAACCCATTGCTTCAACTCTCAAATACAGCAATTCAAATCCTGTCTTCAAGATCACCCCTTCTCTGCATCCAGTCTAGAATTTGACCCCAGGTGTTACACGACTAATTGCTACATGGATTGCTCTGACATCCCGTAGCTGAAAAAAAAAAGCTAAAAAAAAAAAGTAATTCAGGATCAAACTATTCTATAAAACATTTTCAGTAGTGTGCTTCCTTATCCTATCACCCCCACAAAAAGACTGATGAAAACCAAGATTTTCTTAGAGTATTGACTCAAGCAAGCAAATTGTTTTTCTATTAATTTCTCTTACTTATTTCCGCACTATTTCAGGCAGCCTAGATATTCCTGGAAAGAACAGACACTGAAATAATTCTCATTTATATTAGTGTGTGCCATAATTAGCTGGAAGGGTCTGCATTACTGTGGGCCTCTTTTAACTGTGTCCATCTGGTTTCAATCATATTGTCAAAAGAAACAGCAAGTGTCTCCTTCAGTACAGCTGTTTTTTTCCTCATTACAATATTCAGTTATAAGTAAATAAATCAGCAGAAGTCACAGTGCCTGTATGTCATAAAGACTATCAGCTCTAATACCTGGTCTGACTGTAGAACATCACTAAGTAGGGGAGAGCCAAGCACTCTCTTGTCTACTAAGCACAGCCAAGCTCTTTAAACAGCATAAAAAGATGTACAACAGGGATTTTGATTTCAACATATAAAGGAATGACATAGTGCACAAAGTCATTTACATTTATTAATTCAATTTTTACTATAGCTTCCAGATGGTATTTGGTAATTTCTTGGGTAGACTGGCAGGCCCAGAGCTGTGTTGCTGCGTGGGATTTTGCATGCATGCTTAAGGAAAATTCTAGCCAGATCAAGTACATCTGGTTCCTAATCAAAATGGATATACAGTATACGGCTGTAACAACCAAAGGTAAACATATGTGACACATACCCGAATATTCATAGGGCAGACAGTCTGCAGAATTCCCTGCAGACCAAAGGTGAAACATTATTATTAAAGAAGTTAGTAACTGCTGCAAACTAAATCTGTTTGTAAGCTGAGGACCAGGAGGCGGCATGAACACACACTCAACACCTTAAACTACCTTGGAAAGTGCTGAGACAGTAACAAGTCTTACTTTGTTTTCCTTATCCATGACCTTTTTGTTGTGGCTGCGATAGTTTGACCTGTGGTCCCACAGATAAGTTACCTGCTGGGTTTTGGACGCCTCTGCAATTCTTTTGCTGTATCACTTGTCAGTCCCAGGTTCCAAACCTTTTCCCACATGCCAGCGTCCTCTCTTTGAGGAGGACAAGCGCTGCTGGTCTGAACTTCTGCTTTTCCCAACCACATGAACTGAGCAACCTCCTGCAAGAAAAGTTTTCATGGGAACCAAACCTAATGAATGATGGAGGTCACCCATAACAGGTATAGCAAAATTTCAAACATTCTTTATCTACCTGAAAAACATAAGACTCAGAACTCTGCCTTATTCAAACACTATCTCCCGGGTATGTCTCAGAGATTACACTCAGTACTTCTTCCACAGCATCTTCCCTTGGCTGAGGTCCAGGAATTTTCTTCCTCTTCAGTTTGGTGTTTTGAGTCTGTTCAGTATCTTTCATTTCATGCTCTGGTTTTGAAGAAAAGTTTCCACTTGGCTAAAGTCAGATGGGTCACCATTCCCCAAACTTACCACATCCGTAATTTTTTGTCCCTTTTAATAAAACTGAGACATTTCAGAGATAACTTGTTTCTGTCTTATCTCTGGCACTCTTTCGTCTTCCACACAGTTTTACCCATCTCTACTTAGATGCGACTCCATGGTGTAAAACATAGTATTGAGTAGGTAAGCTATATAAACAAGGTAATACAGATTTCAATCTCTTTGGTTTTACATGGTAATTATGCACTCTCTCATCTCAAAAAATTCAAATTAATCACAACCTAAGAACTTTTATTATATCATGGGATTAGTCTACTTTGAAGCTATAAGAAATACAGTGTTAATTCTTTTTTTGAATTCCTTTCAAGCTTAGGGAAATCCAAACTGATGTTAACAATTATGTTACTGGCTCCCCACAGCTTCATATGTTTGCTTACCATTTTCCAGGCATCTCGACTTATTAAAATAAATTGTGCATGTTATTGTGGTTATTCAACAACTTTTCTAAAATTCCAACTTAAGCTGTTTTCCAATAGCTGACACAAAGCACTGACATAATTAAAATACTCTCATTAAAGGAGAAACAGTATGAAAATCACTTTTTATTAATTTTCAAATACGAAACAAGAATTTCTGCATTTGCTTATCCAATGCAAATGATCTCCCCAGCAGTCAGTCCCAGCATTAACACTTGCAGATATTTCACATCATCATAATTGTGTCTAATCACTGCAACATATAAAAATCCATTTTTGAGTTAAAAAGAAGAATGAAACAAAATCAGTGATAAGATCCAACGCCACTCCACATTCCTTGTGGAGTATCCCAGAGAACACAGCAACTCTGCTGTCTCAGCAGCCTTACATGTTTGTGACTTGTATAGATTCTATGGATTTTATCTTTTTGCACTTCTTAGCCCTCCTAAGAATATTACCTTTCTTGACGCAAGCATCCATAGTGCCCCGTGGCTACTCCCACCCACGCAGCAAGTAGCAGTACCTCCACTCAGACTGCGGTACCCTTGCTCACGTCAGATACTCCCGTCCTGCATGGGTGTGCAGAGACATTCCTCTGCCTAACACTGACCCGTGGCCTTGTGCCAGGCCCAGACTGAAGTGCAAGGACTAATAATAAGCCAAGCTTTTTGTAACAAATCTAACCGTAGGCCAGGATTCCCTGCCAGCCCAGTCCTTCTCTTCCTTGGGTCATCCAAGTGCCTTCCACTACTTAACTAACACTTTATGTCAATGCAATAATAGACAAAAAAGCAACCAAAACCCAAATCAGAGCCATAATTTTCCCTTTTACATATGTAACAACAGAAAACCTCCCACTGCATTTAAGACAAATGTCAATACATACTAACCTGCTTAGTAGTATACTAAGTAGTGATTACTGCAGGCCACGATACAAGCATAGTGAAATAATTACTTCACTTTTAAAGTCTGAGCTCTAAGACAGATTGTCAGATGCAACAACAGATGAAAATACAGCAAACTCTCAGGTAGGCCAATTATCTGCTTTAACTGTTATCTCTGCATCACAGGCAGTGCGAGGTGGGCCCTGAGTTTCTATACAGTAAGCACGCTGCATGAGGAACTTTTGTTGCACAGTTTGCCAGCCACAGCGTGAACGCTGGTCATTGCCTTGTGTTGCCAGCTGAAGTGAATATTAAGCTCCAGCCTAACACTATTTTTGTTTGGTTTTGGATTTTTTGTTGTTGTTTGTTTTGTTCTCCTGTTGTTGGTAATCTTCTTTTAATGCTTCTGCTTAAAAAGATTCATGAACCATTAATCCTGGAAATCTCCCTAATAAATCCATCTCTTTACAAAGATCAATGCTTCAAACAAAAATCTAAGTTTGTTGTGTTGTTTTTTTCCTACAAGCACCATAAGTCCCAGCTAACAAAAAGAAAATGCAACACATAGAATCTCAACCCTTGAGTAAGGAAGTCTGCATTTTTAATACGTTACTTCTGTCTGCAGTAGAAGCTGAAAAAGCAACCTGTAAAATTACGCAGTGACTATCAGCCTAATGGGCTTGAACACAAAATGATGTTCATCAGCACCTTTTCACAAGATGCTTTGTTTTGGTCCTTACAGGCTGATAGTCACTGTAATTCACAAATCTTGAAAGGTATGACTTTGAGTAAAATAAGTATATAATTTTATCATCTGTGTTTCTGTACAATCCTCCAGAAAGCTTGGTATATGTTTATGTGTCTTTCACATTTTACAATTACTTAATTTCATCATTAAAAGACTCTTCTAATAGGAGTTCTAAAATCCCAACTTGTTCCAATATTGTACCAGTTCCACTTCCAAAAACCAATTCAGTTTTGCTTAATGCACGGCCTTACACCATCACTACCTCCATCTTCTGCTACAGGTTGGAACGAGTCAGCCAGGGAAATTCCTGGAAGCAAAAAAACAAACAAACAAATAAATAAAAACCCGTATCAGAATGGACAAAGGAACAGGATACAAATATGTTACTAACTACCCGTTGGAATCTGCATGAAACAAAGACTGCTCAAAAACGTTTCATCTCATTTTGTCAGCAATGAAAAGGAACAATCGTAAATTCTGGAGACGGTCATTAAAGAGATTATACATTAATACAAGCCAACAACAATAAAATGAAGAAAAGAATCCCAAACAAAAAAAACCCCAAAATGCAAGGAAAGCAGAGGGCACAGTGTAAAAGCACCAATTCTCCTATCTTCCAAATTTTAAGACAATCTTTCTGACTTGCAACTATCTCCACCTTCTCTACCGTTTAGGTGATACTTTCAGAGGATTTCAGAGGCTTGCCCATGTGAAGCTTGTAGAAAAAAGAAAGAAAAACATATATATACACCTGTTTCTTTCTTTCTGACTGGGGATCAATCATTACATTTATAAGAGAAGGTGTTTGCTTGTCAGTCAGGCTTGCTTTCAGAGCACTCTGCAATTCTTCTGGCGTTCTGACAAAGTATCCTTTACCTCCAAAGGCAGACATAATTTTCTCATAGTGTGAATTTGGCAGGAGAGAAACAGGAGGCACACTGTAACAAAATTGAAAACTTCTGATTAATGGCAGGGAAGAATCATCAGACTTACCAATTTAATTACTTGAACACTGATTTTTTAAGTGTAAGTTTATTATTGTGCTGGCCTGATAAATTTTTCTGGGCTCAAAGAACAACATTTCCTGTATCACTCAAGCTATGTTTATAGGGTAATACTCATTTTCATCTTCTGGAGCAAAGCTTTAGCCTAGTTCTTTCGGTACAAAGATCTCAGCTCCAGAAGCAGAAGCCCAGCGTGAATTCAGAATGCAAATCTCAGGTAATTTTGGGAGATTTTGATTTTGGAGGTTAGTCCACTATGAATTCTGTACTGTGGGGCCTGAACTGCTGCAGGAAGCCAAGACAACTAAGAGAGTCATTTCTGCTGCACTGTTGTATAAACAATAGTCTAGAATTTGGTTGGTTGCTTGCTTTTGGTAACTGGTTCTTACTTACATGAATTCAGCCTAGGACTAAGCTCAGGATAACAAAAGCAATAAAAGTTGCAGAGAATGAGCATTTCAGTCACTTCTTCTTTAATTAACAGGACATGCTTTGAAGATGCTCACCATGTAGAGGGATCTCCAAACTTTAACATCTCCTTCCAGGCATCTGCATCCAAACCAGTGTAAATTCCATTGTTGTTTACTATGATAATCAGGATTGGCAAGTTGTATCTACAAAAAGACACATTTAGAAGAATTCTGAAATACTTGCACTTTTCTGTAAGGTGTCAGAAATGTTACTTTTCCTTAAAAGTAAAACAAAACCCCACAAAAAGGATTGGCAAGTTGTATCTACAAAAAGACACATTTGGAAGAATTCTGAAATACTTGCACTTTTCTGTAAATACTTGCACTTTTCCTTAAAAGTAAAACAAAAACCCACAAAACTCAACTTCCACCTGAAACATGATCTACTCATCACTGGTAACAAGTCACAACAGCATAAAAACGACCATGCATATATTTTGGCTTATTTGCATGTGCTTTTAAGAGTACCCCATCTAACAGCAGTGCCCTTGGCCTTCTAGTTAGATTGATCGAGGCAATACAGGAAGAGGGTCTTCTTGAGCAAAACCCAGTTACCTGCAAATAGTCTCCACCTCCATCCCAGAGAAGCCAAAAGCACTGTCGCCTTCTATGCAGACGACTCGCTTTTCAGGTGTTCGGTCTTTAGCTACCATTGCAGCTGCTATGGCAAAACCCAGTCCAACCCCCATCGTTCCAAAAGTACCTGCATCAAGTCTAAAGGGGAGAATACAGAATTACTATCCCTTTAGTTCTCCTCAAACTTTTAATTTAATCCATGATGACTTATCTTTAATAACATGTCATATTACTATTCAAGTACCGTTTCATAAACAAGTTATAAAGAGATATCAGATGTATAGGTTATTATATTCAGTCAAACATTTGATAAGACTGCAAATGTTTTAAGGGATATAAACATTAATAAAACTCTAATTAAAATTAAGAGCTCTTATACACAAGTTCTGCCACAGCAAAGAACTATTATTGTATGATTTGAGCTTGCATAGTAACAATATTTCAAAATCATTAAATTACTGTAAATATAGGCAGACTATATGAAGTCCTTCTATATTTAATTCTTTGAAAATATAACTAGAAGTCTGAAAGCCATCAGTTAAATATTGCTGTTCAAATTTTAGTCTTCTGTTCAACTTTTGAAATCAGATTGAAAGCTGTAATTAAAATCTTTTCAGTCGGAAGCATATAATGGATACAAAAGTACATAAAGAACTAGATTAGGGTTAACTTTTCAAATTTGCTTTCAGATATGTGCAATATGAAAAGACAACCATCAGCATTACTGTGCCCTTATTTTAAATAAGGGGGGAAAAAACTGCAAACTCTTCCCCCAGCTTTACTGGAAGTATGCTTTGGTTGGTTCGTTTTTCTTGTTTACAGAAAGTTTAAACCGATTTAGCATCTTAGTGCTACTTTCACAAAAAGGCACAAGCTTCACAGTCAGATCAGAAGTTTCACCTCACCAGAAAAAACTCGCTGTTTCCCCCTCATTCAAGAAGTAGTACTTAATTCCTACTTACTTTACAACTAGACTACACACAATGATTAAAGTTACATAAAAACACTTCAAGTATGAGTGCCTACATTTTAGGCATGTGGGTTTACATGAAATTGTGCCCAATATATAATCCAATTTTCAAAATGAGTTGATTCTTCTTAATTTTTCACCATTTCTAAGTGTGTTTCAAAGAAAAACTCTTTGTGTGAATTCAACACGAGAATCTCAGCCCAATTACTATTTTTATTTTAAATCAATATTTACCACAGATGCTGAGCACAGAAAAAATATCTTAATCAGGAAATTCAACATGATGCTCCTCACTCATTTTCCATAAAACTGTGAGAAATTTTCACCATTCCATTGCAGGGCACAGAGAAGTCAAAGACAAACTGCTGAAATCTGACACAGGACATCGGTATACGAGTGGAAAAATTCCCATAACCCCTTTCCCAACATACTGAACTTTTATTTTAATCCTCTGAAAAGGATTCAAAATTCTGTACCATCATACTTCTCAGCTAAATAAAAACATCCATACCTAGGTCTACCCTGCTGAGTAAGTACAACAAAGAAAAATACCACACCTTTGACGGGGATAGTAGTTTGGAAGCATAGTTCGTCCGATGTCCATGGTGTTTGCTCCCTCACTTATTAAGATGCAGTCCTTGGGTACCAATTCTCTGATGTGGTGAAAGACTGTGTAATAATTCATAGGCAGGGATTTCTGTAATGCCAATCCCTTAAAAATAAAGAGACTATAGTAACTCTTACCGATAGAATTTAAAGAAAGATGCGGAACTGAGACGTGCAAATAATACTGATGGAAATAAAAACGCACTCTGCTGGATAAAGCTG